CATCATCATACTGGTTTACAGAGGGGAAATTACTGGCTGCGCCGGTCTGGATACGGCACACACACACACACGTACACACAAACACACACACACACAAACCTGTACAATCACCAGCCGAACTGAGCTTCAGTGTGTGTGTGTGTGTGTGTGTGTGTGTGTGTGTGTCTTCCATAGGGTTTTGTATTTAAAGTCTTGTTTAAAGTATTCATTTGAATCAGTGAGTCATTTACTGATGATTCGCTCTTGACTGGATCATTTGACTCACTGAACTGATCGTAGTGGATCAGTGATGTCCTCTTTATTTTATGGTAAATTGTATATATGGATAATAATATGGATGAGGCAGCCGTCATGTCCTGTTCAGAGTGTGTAAGTGCAGAGTTATTAGTGAAGTGTGTGTTATTCGCAGCAGTGTGGGGACTGAAGCTGGGTTATCTGGATCTTGTATATGTCCACAGCTTGCCCTGAAATAGCAGACACTGTAATGTTTTATTGAAGAGCTCAATCTCTGCAGATCAGTGATCAGAGCAGACGCAGCGCTGTGACAGAAGACAGATGCGTCTCATATTGAGCTCTGCATATTCAGCAGATCTATAATGAAGCAGACGCAGCAGCGGGTCATACGTCACTCATGACAGACACAGAGAACTCACACACACACACACACACACATAATTATTTATTATCATAATTATAGGAACATGTTTATTGTGGGGGCGTCACGGTGGCGCAATGGGTAGCATGATCGCCTCACAGCAAGAAGGTCTCTGGTTTGAGCCCCAGCTTTCCTCCGGGTGCCCCGGAGAGACAGAATGCAACTGTTCAATCTGCCTTCCTAACAATTACACATGTGCATCTCCAGATCCTGGAGGGTTTCAGACTTCACAGATGGTTTAATAATGTAAGTTGTATTTGTATAATCATTATTAGTGTATTAATAGTACTCTCTTAAAATGATTAGTGCACTCTAAAAAAGTGCTGAGTTGTTTTAACCCTGTTTTTGGTGACAATAACCCAGCCTTCTTTCAGTGTACTAATAATTATAACAGAAGATATTTGCATGAAAATATACTACAGTGATGAACCGAAACTACAGTATTTTGAACTGTACTATAGTATAGTATATTTACACTGAGTATATTACAGTATTTACAGCTGCATGTTAATGAGTGCTCCAGCACACTGCAGGATTAACTATAGAGCACTGATACACTCTAATAAACACAAACCATGATGTACTGCAGTATAATACACACTACAGTAGGAGAAAACTACAGCATCGGCTCATTTCTTTATATTACTGTAGTGGTTCTGTTACCATAGCAACTGTAGAATCACCACAACAGATCAATTACTGTAGTCATCGTGTTACCATAGCAACTGTAGAATCACCACAACACATCAATTACTGTAGTCATCGTGTTACCATAGCGACTGTAGAATCACCACAGCTGATCAATTACTGTAGTCATCGTGTTACCATAGCGACTGTAGAATCACCACAGCACATCAATTACTGTAGTCATCGTGTTACCATAGCAACTGTAGAATCACCACAACAGATCAATTACTGTAGTCATCGTGTTACCATAGCGACTGTAGAATCACCACAACACATCAATTACTGTAGTCATCGTGTTACCATAGCGACTGTAAAATCACCACAGCTGATCAATTACTGTAGTCATCGTGTTACCATAGCGACTGTAAAATCACCACAGCTGATCAATTACTGTAGTCATCGTGTTACCATAGCGACTGTAGAATCACCACAGCACATCAATTACTGTAGTCATCGTGTTACCATAGCGACTGTAGAATCACCACAGCTGATCAATTACTGTAGTCATCGTGTTACCATAGTGACTGTAGAATCACCACAGCACATCAATTACTGTAGATGTTGTGTTACCATAGCGACTGTAGAATCACCACAGCTGATCAATTACTGTAGTCATCGTGTTACCATAGCGACTGTAGAATCACCACAGCTGATCAATTACTGTAGTCATCGTGTTACCATAGCGACTGTAGAATCACCACAGCACATCAATT